CCTCCAGCTTGTCCCCCTCACCCCCTCCAGCCCCATCAGTACCTGCAGTGCACGATAATAGGGCAGGAGCGACCCCGGTAGCACTTGTTCACCTTCCTGCAAGGACACAGAGGGAGCAGGTCAGTGCCCTGCCATGCTGGGGACAAGGCTGTGCTGGGTGCCCCTGGTGGGAGGGGACAGCGAGCACACCACGACGTGGCCCTGGGGGTCCGGCGCATGGCTCCTCCTGCCTCCCCAGCGGTTCTAGGCATGGGACAGGGACCATGGGTGGAAGAGGACTGGGAGAGGAGCCCGGCTGCTCGGGTGGCCAGCCTAGGAAGGGGAGCAGCGGCGGGACCCCCGAGGGAGCAGCTCTGGTCCGGCGGGGCGCGAAGCTGGGGGCCAGGTGCCAGCGGGGCTCCCGGCATGCTCCATGCAGCAGGCACGGCCGGCCACGATCACATTGTGACTATGCAACTGGAGCCAGATTACTAGCTGCAAATCACAAAAATGAAGACAGACAGAGAAAGAGAGAGACAGAGACAGACAGAGAGACAGAGAGAGCGTGAGCGGGACGGAGAGGAGGGCGACGTGCCTAAGCAGGGTCCCTGGCCCCACACGGCCTGGGGACAGTGACCAGCCCCCCCCCGGCAGGACCCCACCGCCACCCAGGGACCCCCAGAACCCAGCAGGTATTGCCTGCAAACCTCCTGGGAGCAGTCCCGGCCCCGCCAGCCCTCTCCTCAGGCTAGCTGGGGACCTGCTGCTGGCTGTAGGGCACGGAGAGGAATGGGCCACCACTGTTCAAGGCTGGCTCCGGGGTTTCTTCTTGCCCCCATGGCTGGGGAGGGTGCCAGGCAATGCGGTCCCCCATCCCAGCTCCTGGGAAGAGCACCTTCCCACCCTCCCCCATGAAGGCTGGAGAACCCTGGCAACCTCAGCTGGAGGCTTCTTACCCACCAAGCTCTGCCCAGCCTCACCCCAAGCTGGCCAGAGCCTTGTTCTTCTGCTCCTCCCCATGCACGGCAGCCCCACCTCCCACCCTGGCCAGTCCATGCCACAGCCCTGACCCTCATCACACCGGCACCGATGTCCGCGCCCATCAGTCAGTCCCCTGCGCTTGAGGCCACCGTCAGCTCCCCGGGGGCTGGCACGGCGCTGGGTGGGCGCTCACCTGCGGAAGACGAGCCTCCTCCTGCCTGCATCTGCCCATCGCAGGGCCACCATGTCACCGCTGGGGAAGGGAATGGGCTGGGGGATATCTCTCCACAGGTCCCAGATGTCCGTTCAGCTCAACCCTCCTCCCCAAAGCAGGGCAGCTGCACCAGAACCGCGGGGATGGCCTCGGCCGGCCAGCTGAGGAAGTGGAACTGCGTCAGGGTGCGGGTCTCTTGCGACTGCACGTTCTTCAGGTAGAAGCTTCGCACCAGGAAATCCTCGCACCAGATGTGCTCTGACACCAGGTTCACCTGCCCGAGAGAGGCAGGCGGTAGGCAGGAGGTACCCCCCGGGTTACTGAGGACTGGAGGATGCTCCTTGCCCTGGGCTACCAGCCACACTTGCCTCGTAGATGTGGTAGAGAGAGGACCCTTCATCCGGCCAGTAGCGGTCACACTGCTTGACGCTGTCCTCGGCCAGTGGGCTCAGCATGACGATGACGGTGCAGCCATGCTCCCACACCATCTGCAGGCAAAGCATGGTGGGTGTCACTGCTGGGTGACAGCCCAGGCAGCAGGGTGGCCGAGCCGCTGTGTCCCATCTGGTGAGCAGCACCCAGAGGGACGCCAACGCGCTGGCACAGCTGGGTGACGCTCACCTGCCAGAAGTCAGCGATGGTGTGGGACAGTGGCCCCTGCGTGGCGATGTACGCTGGCATCCGTGGGTCGTGCTCGATCTGGAGCAGGAAAGGGGGTGTCACACTGCATGGTCTCAGGCCAGGGCTCGGTGACACTGGGAAGAGCAGGGGGATGCTCCAAGGGCGATGGGAGGGCTGGGGAGGGAGCTTTGGGTGCCACAGCCAGGAGGGACATGGATTTTAACCATGTCTGAGCAATGGGACAGGCACATTGCTCACATCCGTAGTCCACAGGGATGTGAGCTCGGTCCGGCTCCATCTCAAAGCGAGAGCCTCGCCTGGGCTGAGCCCATCCCAGAGCAGGAGCCCCTGGTGATCACTCACGATCGGACTGGCGTTGATGAAGTCACTGCGGGACGGGTTGCTCTCAGCTTTCAGCTTGATCCGCACATGGTCATCTGGGGAAACGGAGACCGGGGGAGACGGTGAGCATCCGGGGAAGCTGGGGGCAAAGCTGCGCCGCAGCCTGCCTTGGTCCCGAAGCATCCCCGCGCCCCAGGGGCTGGGATGCTCACAGGGCACATAGTCGGGGTTGCGGTTCTTCTTCAGGTTGGCTTCGCTCTGGGCAATAGAGCAGATGCTGGGCTCAGCCTGGTAGGCGCAGAGAGCCTGCCACTCCTTGGCACCAGGATCATGTGTCCGGTGGAGATGTCCATGTTGGACTGGACAGGCTCCTCGCACCAGGAGGGCGTGCTGCTGTGGGAGCTGGGGCTGGGCTGCGGGGCGTCACTGAACTGGGATGAGACGCTGCTGACCCGCGAGGTCTCCGCTGGTGCTGCCGGTGCCTCAGCACGGCCGAAAAGCGACTTGGCAGCCATGTGCTGGCGGGACAGCGCCCCGG